TATTTCAGATCCATTGTGAGTCTTGGATTCTTTTCCATTGCCGTGATCCTGAAAATATGTCTAGAACTTTACCGTACGTATTTCACCTGTAAGCAAGCGATCCGACATCTAAATATTATAATATCTGTCGATGTATAGATAAATATTGCCGTGTTTTTTCTTTTGTGATTGGTTTAATTAAGGTGATGTGCTTTACATATTCAGTGTATCAATTGTTTCATTATACAGCCATTTATTTATTATTTACTCAGTTAATTTGCAGAAAACAATGTCTCGGTTAAACGAGTATACATTTATTGCAGGCATGAGAACACAGCAACGACTTATCACGAACACCCAGCCATCAGGTAATACGGAAACACGGTTAATGAATTGATAATTAATCCGTAAATAATCTTTATGTTTTAACAATAGTTGCACGCGAGGGGGTTTCCTATGGGAGGAAACAAAAATACTGCCATAGACAGACAGGTGAATCCATAATTTTCAGGGATTCGAGCCACTCATTCATCCTTCAACAATCTAAAAATAGAAAATTCTTGATTTCATACTCTAACACATAAAATGCGCTGTCATTTATATAACATGAACGGAATATTTACCGAACAGTATGAAATAGATCAATATATTATCTAACACTTTTTTATCGTCTTTTAATAGTGTATGTCGTATTGATATTGTTTAAACTTCATGTGATCTTTCCAGAGGAACATACTACGTATTCGGCTGCATATGATGATACTAGAAGTATGTTTGGATCGGAACTCGAAATGGCAAGTTTCCATTCCTTGGATGTAAACGTAAGCATGCTTTCATTAACGTGCTCCTCTCCAATACCGCTTATTTTCTTCAACCTGAATGTAATCGTGTAATCCTTTAATTATTCTGAACGTTTTCAGACCAGTCGACCGATGTCTATATACCTGTATAATGACGGCATGCAACTATAAATAGGGGTCAAATGAACTTTCGATAGATTCAGTTTAGGAGTAGGAGTTTTAAATAGGTTAAATGTCTGATAATTTATGAAAAATAATGTTGCATTGTTGTCATAATTACGAAAAGGAAAAAATCCTTTAGTCAAACTAGAACATAAATTTAGCTCTCATTTGTTTCAGATAACATCATCTTTATTTCAAACTACTATCTTTAGAAAATTTGTTAGAATGACACAAAAAAATATTTCAATTCTTAATTCCAAATATTTTCAATCGATTGATTATTGTCCGTATTAGAATGTATTTCTTAAGCTTATTTTCAATGTTATTTCCTGTGATGATTCAAAATAGTTTATTTATCAAACTTACAGAGTTTGCTCGCAGACGATGATATACCTCCAGTGAGTATCAAAAATTTGTTTCAGTGTTGGATGAAGATTAAGTTTCACTTGAAAATGTGATTGCTGATATGGGTCACGTTTTTTGCTTCATTACTGTTTCTACAACATAATTATCTTTGAAGGTTATCGTTATTTCTCCCGTATAGCGTATCGTTCTTTTACACAAATAACAGTCATATACAAACATTAAATTGCAAAGAATAGAAACGTCATACATGCGGGACCTTCATTTAGACCTGATCTAGACTAGAACACATAAATAGTAGCGTACTGATGATTGCATCATTCAATTCCCGAAAGGAGTAAACGTTGTTTTTCGTTTTTTCAGATAATGTGCTCGAAGGATCCTTTATCAAGCAGGGTAAGTGAAACAAACCTGAAATTGTTAGATAATGCTGTATTCCTATTTGGCAGTTTACGTACATATCATTGCTGGCTGCAATTCGATTTTGGGATCTCTTAAACCTTTATGTTTACATGATGAAGATCCCGTCGGAAAATTGGCCAATGTGTATACCTCCACAAGACAGACAATCTTATCTCATGATATTGGGAACAGGTTCTTGAATATCGAATACTTGTTTAAAATTCTATGTATATTATATATATTTTTCATAAATTATATTAATATTCTTCAATATTAATTTCGCTCGCCTGCAATCAACATAGTAATCAGTGTCCGACAGTGATTGTGTATACCTTATGTACTAGTCGTGTTTTATCGGAAGGTTCAAACATGATATTGCCGTTGTTCAGAGCTTTTGAAATCCGTCCTAGATGATTCATTTATTACGAATCGCGTAATTAACAGAGCATGACATTGATTTTGTTGAGAGCGAGGTAGTGTTGATATCAAACAGACACAGACATGTGTACAAAGTCACTAACTGTGAAATAAGTTACCGATTACTTCCGTGTAGGATACACAACGATATACTGCACTTGCAATCTTAAATAGTGTTAAAAACACCCGAGTGTATATAAGGTCTAGTAATTAATAAAATGCAATATATAACTAGCATTCCTTTCGAGTAATCTTTAATAATGTCGTTGTAGCCTTAAACTTTCAAATATGTCTGAATGAGTGACTGGATTTAACATTTCCATATACATATATACTGTAAATTGAAAGTTTAATTATACATCCTGACTGTTCACAAAATCACAATTATTTTACTCTGTGTTTGTTTCTTCTTTTTCAGACTTCTGATAATGAGTATTTGGATGAACACCCTATTATACAAGGAACGGAATTTTTGGAAGATTGCCTAGGACCATAACACCCTAGGTGATTTAGTACCTGTTTTCAAAACCAAATTAAACATTCATTCAAAATCCTCATTTTAAAGCAACATTCTTGGACCCTCTTATTCATCATTGTACTTATTTCATTTAAAAAAATATAATGAATTAGAATATTATTTTACTAACGTCAAATGTACTAGTACACAGTAAAAAAACGAAATTTAATATTTCATGTTTTTCATATGTAAAATTATGAAATGCTTTAGCATTGTTTCAATTGCATCTTTTAAAGGTTTTAACGTAAGAAAAACGCTTTTTCCAATCCCAGATTCAATAAAACAAAAGTAAAATATGAACAACAGAAACAATTATTCAAGAATAAAACCGAGTGTTCCAGAAGAGTAAGCGTCTCCTGCTTCAACGTCATATATTCAGCATCACGAGTCTAAAACTTCAGCATAATATTTAAAACATAAAGAAATCACTTATCTTACATTTGGTTTCCAATCCCCATATCATTATAAAGGTAATATATAACTCGCTGGGGCAAAATCGCAAGGGGAGTTACCTTTATCGAACTATTCGACACAATAATGATCGAAACAAAATACCATTCAAGGCGAAGCCTCGATCACGAAGATACCCGATGTCAGCCCTCTACTTAGATGAATTTCATTTGTAGGAGAACAATGATCCATTTTTCAACAGAATCTTATCGTTTACATCATGTCTTTCCACTTTTTCGCTTTATGTTTTGATATTATTTCACTTATAGATTTATAGAGTCATCGGATGTTCTGGACAGAGCTTTTAATGACATATACCTCAGTGGCAGCATATTTCAACATGAGGCCATATATGCGGACATATGAATCCGACTGTCGTTTGTTATATGGTACCTGATATATGCAAACTCGTTTGACAAGAATAACGTTTGTATTTGGCAATATTGCATGTTGATGTTCAAAACCAACAAACTTGCGTTGTTATGTGCTGTTTCCGGACGTATTCTGTTTCTGTTCTGCATTTCTCGTACTCTCTAATTTCAATAATCCGTAATAGGTATAATGCATCCTGTCATATTTATTAAAAACTTATCTGTTCTGATCTATAATTCAAGACGCATTACCATTTTATCGCCGTCAGTACTCCATGTATTCTGGATCAGGAAAGATCTAGATTGTGATCTACGTCATTCAGTATAAAATAAACATGTAACAACCAATTATAGAGGGTGAACCTCATTCACACACACATATATCTTTTCGTCAAATAAACACGAAAGAGTTTTCCTTGGTAGCGTTAAATGGAAAAAAGGCATCTGTTAATCCTCATGATGAATAGTCTATTTGAACTATCAATAATATGCATTTCGTTTGTTTCATGAAAAAATAGAAACCTCGCCATTTTTTTTTTTTTTTTGTTTTTTTTTTTTGAGATCATAATGTTCCACACATAAAGATAAATTACCGTGATTACAATTATTAGGTAACTAGAAGTACGCTTTTGCCGAAGTAATGCATTGACGTCACGCATAACGTTATCTTGTTCCGCCCTCGCAGTATACAAATTTACGAAATTAAGATAAATGCTGTCGTTTGTGTGCCAAGATAGACGGAATCTTGAAAACTACAAGCATGATAGTAATTCTTTAACACAAAGCATTATACAGTCTTTACTCCCCTGAAAACTGACCTAGTTCCAAATATCATTTTTTATGTGACCTGCTGTTTTTATCATCTTAAATGCAGCAGTGACATATTTTTCAGTAATGTTTACATTTACTAATTTACATAAATAGGATCTTCCATAATACATTGACACGAGTGTAAGATTCTATTTATCACATAACCAATTAAAATGGAAAAATCGCCAGAAAACTACGATTTACTTCCACTATGCAATCAGCTGTTTCTATATAGGTCAAAACCAACGCACAGCAATCAGAGTTTTATCCATCCGTGTTGCAAATAGTACCTTTTTTCAATGATTGAATAAGAGATTGTTCTGTTCCAAAATAATATCGACAAAGTAAAGCATTTAAATTTTATTTAATGCAAAAATAACTTTTAAAAATAAAAAAAAAAAAAAAAAATCTTGGTAACGTGACGTCACCTCGCCTCGTCATCACGGATCATCAGGTTCGGCCTAACTGCTCCAGTTACTGCGAGTCACTGTCACTTTCAATGATAGCTTTTCGGATTAGGTGGTTTTGGTGAATCACAAACTTGGTGAATATGCATTTCAAAGTTTCCACCACTTACGGGACTACCAAATATCGACTGAAAACCACCAGTTATTTCCAGGGAAGCCGAGGAAGCGGCCGATTTGCTCATGTTGTTTACACACGTGGAGCTGGACGGCTCTGGCAAGGTAGGTGGTCCTGTCGTCGATGTTTCCGCAGATTTTCCAGCATTCAGAATCCTCGAGATCTGTTTGTGTTGGTCGTGGTTAATGTGGCTGTAGTTGTTGATGATATATTCTTGTGGCCAGAAATTTGCATGATGATATTGCTGTCACTCAGTTTTTGAACAAGGTATTTTCTTGCACTATGGTTTGACAGGCGTTTTTCCGTTGTTATTCCCGACGACTTCACCATTCTTTGCATCATAGTACACAGTTTATTCACTCCTACTGGCTGTTTTTTTAACCAAGTTTTGTCGTTTTGTGACGGCATTTGTTTCGTCGCGAGGTAGAATGGATCTGAGGGACCACTATATCCGACAGGGCGTTTTTCACGGTAGAGTTTGTAAATAAGGACTGGGCACCTGTTCGGGTTTTCCAAATTTTCCCGTAGTTTCGGTTTCACTGATCTGATGTCGCGGACATTTTCGCCTGTACAGATTTTCAACTGACGCTCCGTGAAATCTAAACATTCATGCCAATCCTCATCCTTCCAAAGACTAACATCTCCCCAACACATATGTCGGTGCTCAGCTGAACCACGAAGTCCGAAATGTATTGTGTTATAAAACCATACAGTTTGTAAGATGCTGTCTGGGGTATCAGAACCTAACTCACCCGAATTCCACAGAATGTCAATTTCATTGTCATTGATTGGATCACTTTTGTGTGCCAAATTGCCTTTTCCTTCACGTTTTAATTGACGTTGTTTACCCTTTAATACTTCACGGACCTGAGCAAACATTGGACTGTTAACGATCGTATGACCATAATTTTAGCAACGTAACTGTCGGTCAAAACTTGACATCATACCACGTAATGAGGTGGGCTCGTATTCCGAGCCGTCTGTTTTCCGAACACCAATGAAAAACCTGCATAATAATGACGACAGATATTTGACGGGAATTTCGTGGATTTTTCTCTTTTCAGTTATTTCTGGTAACTCCAAAATTTTTTACAAAATTTTCATGTCATACAAAGTTTTGCTCAACATACTATTGTTTGATTGATCCTGTACAAATTTCCCCACCTCACCTTCTCTTACTGAAGCGAAACGACCTGGTTCAGGGGCAACAGGATCGCCATCCGGAGCGGTCGTCTGCTATTGGGAGGGATCTACCACCTTTTCAATACGATCGCGCTCAAGCTGAATTTGAAAGTCAATCCCACGCAATTCAACATCATAAAATACAGCAAACCCCCGTGGGATAATCTCCTTCACCACACCAGTCCCCTTCTTATCAATAAAAACTGTGTCGCCAATGTTGATCTGGTCAGCCATATTTTACTAGTTTGTTGTCGTAGTAAATAAAAGTAGTACGCGCGCGGGCGTATGAATACGTTACCACGGTTTTGACCAATCAACAGATCCCAAACCTTTATTACACATGTGTATTACCATTATTATGACATGGACTTATGACATAGGAAAACGAGTCGGTTATGTGATAAACATTCCAGAGCCAAGAGGTATAAACACATCAAGCAGCACCATGCTTGCTTGAAACGCCCAAATTGGCAAACTCACTAGTGTCCAAGACACGACAGGAAAGCTGGGATGTACACACTAGTGTCCTTGACACGACAGCCATCCCAATAGTAGATATACTGTGACTCAGCCTCCAAGCAAGTCGCTGACCCTGGCCTACGTAACGACCCAACACATGAATTCCATGCTGACCTTGACCCTGGCGAAGAGAACTTATCCGGTCGGTCCTGACGCTGGAGTCACAATGAGTTGGCACAGCTGACTGGTCCTGGCTTGATAGCTGAGACTCCTAGTCCGTCATGTGAAGCTACAATAATACATAGTGGAAAATAATGCTGTAGTCACACAGATTCACTCTCACCTGGCATACTAATTAACTAATAATTAATTATCAATAATATAAATATTCATTAATATATTGTAAATATACGTAAATCAATATAATAAAGATAAAGGGATAAGTGTGC